ATATATAATAAATTTCATTTATTATAAAGTCACTGTCAATAGGTGCAAGGTCAGGGGTAAAGCACTTTCAAGCTAACTTGATAACTTTGAGAATACAAGTCTGGTTGGTAAGATTAATAGTACTGCTATGGTTGACTTTAAGACCACTGACTCTTAACTTGCACCCCATTTTGAAGAACAAACAAGGCAGCAAAAATTCAACATGACCTATGTTAAAAGGATTAAGAGGAGTTTACTGAAAGTTTTAGAAAGGAAATTAATCGGGGAATCATCGAGTATATATTTTAAGGAACAGCCAAATGCCACGGTATTCCTCTAGGAATAACGTATATGCAATGTAGTTATAGCATGTGGGACTCTTTCCTAAGAAGTGACTCTGAAAAGGACTTGTGGGTCATGGATTAAAAATGGTAGAACTGGAGCTTCCAGTGTCACAGATTTGATGCTATCCATACATTTATTTATGAAAGGAAATGCAATAGGAGATAGGTCTGATATATCCATCACTGCAATACTGTGTCCTTTGACCAGAATTCAAGAAGAATGTTGAAAGGTCAGAGAGATTTCAGAGAGCATCAATAATAATTATAAACATGGAAACTTACAATGGCAAATTCACGAAGGTTTTTAGTTTTTCAAGGAGATATTGAAAGGATGATTTGATCATAATCTGTCAGTGTTTGCATGTCCAGGCCTCTGTTTAATACAGGGAAAATTGGAAGTGATATCATTGGAAGCTGTGGATGGAATAATTTCAGTAGTCTCTTACTGAGAATGATTGCAGAAAGGGAAGTGAAGGCTTTGATGTAAGTGAACGCCATGGGGAAGTCTGTTCTAGACCTGCCTTTGTTGTGGCCTTCCTATGTGATATTAAATGAAGTGTTGGCAGATAAGTCTATAAAATGAGTGCTTCTTTTTTTCCTTTTCCTTTCTTTTTTTCCTTTTCCTTTCTTTTTTTCCTTTTCCTTTCTTTTTTTTTCCTTTTCCTTTCTTTTTTTTTCCTTTTCCTTTCTTTTTTTTCCTTTTCCTTTCTTTCCCCTTTTTAAAAAAAATCAGTTATTGTTGCAAATGGTTTTGGTATAGGATGCACAATTGGTAGCCTCTAGAGGGAAAAGAAGCAGGAATCTGAGCACATGGTGAATCAAGTTTTAGATCCATTAGCAGAATTCTGGAGGGAAACTTGCCTCTTTCCTACATGACTGAGCAAGCACGAAGAACCTCCTTCTCCCATCCCTCTCTTTGTAATAATAATAATAAAAAAAATTTGAATGGAAAACATGAGGAGCTGCTGTTAATAGCTCTCCACATGTAAATACATGGTTGGCAGAACCTTGCTAAAATAACCTTAGGGCACAGAGCCAAACTTTCTGTGCAGCTTACGTATATAGATTTTGTAACCGTAAGTCAATGTTAAAACATTAAAAAAAGAATTTATATGTGTAATGGAAAGATTGAAAGTATGCTTGCTTTTCTTTCCTCTAGCCTGGGAATTTGAAAAGATAATATTTTCACTGAAAAGAAAATAAAAACAAGAGCTGCCTCATGGGGGTTTTTTTTAAGGTTAAGAGCAAAAATAATTCTTCGGTCGTTACTCCTCCATGTGTTGAATTGTATAGGAGGAAAAATATATCCAAAGTATTCAGGAAAGAAACTGCATCAGTCATGAGGGATGTTGACATCATCATGTCTTTCCCCATTGAGATGTCAAGTTTTAACTCGCTTCATTGCTTGTTGCGCTGTCAAGAGTAAGCATGATGCTGAAAAGAAGTTGGTAATAGCTCTCAGGTTACCTGAGAAATAAATCTAGATAGTGATCAAGGTTATGCCCTGTGAAGTCAGTAGGTCCCCGCTCTTATGGAAGCACTTGTTTAGGCATGTTTATTTCCTGAGTTTTGTGTCATAGCTACAGTAAATTATTTAGGCATGTACATTTTTATAATAAAACTGGAGTAGTACAAGAAATAAGGTATGGGCTATATGTGCAGATTTTTTTGCTACTAAGAGGAAAACAAGAAATTAGTTTGATGAAATAAAAATATTCATACTTAATATCAGAATAATTTAATTGATATCACTTTGATTTCCACACCAAAGATCTTGGTTATAAATATCACACTGGGAGTTGTGTTCCTAGTCAGTTCTGAGGTGATAATTCAGCTCACAGTGTACGTGGGAAGCCTTGCTGCATTTGCAGAGGTGGTAGGTTTCTAGTGAGACATTGAAACGTGGTCCCTCCTGCCCAGCTCTGTCGTGGGCTGAGGAAGACTGGTATCGGGTTATTCTGGAAGAAAGAAGTGGGAAACAAGTGTGTTTCTCAGGGTATGGCTGTAGTGCCAAGTACATAATGGCTATTGCATACGTAGAGTAACTTCACTTACCATTCTGAAACCAGTATTGATGCTGTTTGTTTGGCACAAGATAAATGACCTTTCCACAAAGGGGAAAAGATCATGTGGTAGTATCGCTTTTCATAAACACAGAAATCCACAAACTAAACTGCTGGAAAAGAGGAATTCCTGCTCATTTTTAGTTTGTGTTCACTTTGTTAGCAACACTGCTTTCCCTAGGGTCTGTTCTCTTTCTTGTAGTTCTTGAGGCTTTCTCAAGAACTAATGGCTTATTTCCTCTCTGGCAGGTAAACCAAGTAGTTTTCCTTTCAGTCTGAGCTGAGAACAGAGGGTGAGGAGGGGTCTATCGGTACAGTGTTTCTAGAGGTAAATAGCAGCAGAATAACGGGACACCCTTTTCCTAGGCTTTTATTTCACTTTGTTCTGACATTCGCCCTTTGTCATTCAGTGATACGGTCGGCAGGCTTTTTAGCCTGAGAACCAAAACCTCTGCTTTCACCTACATCCTTTTCCCGTCTCTGTTTCAGCAACATCAGCTGTACTACTGTATCTCTGTACTCAAGGTTTTCTCTGCTTGTGCAGTATAGGAAAGAGATCGTGAATTTCTTGCTTTTCTTGGCATTTCATGGCAATTCCATATTCTCCCAAATATGGAGAGAACTCCTCCACCCACCCCCCAAAAAAAACCCCCAGCTCTAGCAAGTAGCTTTCAAAAGTACCTAGGATACTTAGCATTTAGTCACCTAGATCATGAAAAATATTCTGAAATACCTATTCCCACTCTCATCTGACATACAACTTCCAAGTCTTACTGTAGTCCTCGGCACAGGTGTCTCGGAGGAGTAATTGCATTAAACTGCCTGTTGTCAGGAGAATACTGTGTAATGTAATTTAAATAGATGCTTTATTTTATTCTGTCACATTTTCCTAGCTGTGTTTTGTTCTTATCTGTATGTACCTGTGTCTATTTATAAATTATCTGTTAAGGAGGCTAAATTACTCTCCCTAGCAAGAGTCAAGTCATCATAAGCATGGTAACATGCAGTGCACATCAGGCTTGTGTAGAGCAAAACTTACAAATGGGGTTTCTTTTCTCAACAGAATTTTTTACGTTACTTAGGAATTCCTTCTTGTTTTTTCTATTTTATTATTATTTTCAGCATTTTCAGTCTATATACTGTCCTAAGATTAAACACTTGTTCTTACAAGAAAAAATAGGCTGCTATTTACAGAGAGGCAATTTATAAGTGTTCCAGCAATAAGAAAGACCCTTAAAGTAGGCATACATTAAATTCTGCTCATTTTAAGGCCTTTTTAGATGCCAGATTAAAGTTTTATTTTAAGGGAGAATTTCCGAGGATTTAACAAATCCATGTGTGAGCTAGGCCAAATTTTGTACAGCTCTTTGTACGGATAAAGGATTCACACAGAGACTATTTCTGTCTGTAGATGAAGTAATTCACATGAAACAATGACTTAAGCAATCTGTGAGCAGGACCAACTTCAGGATCCTCCACTGCTCCAGCCAGGGAAGTTCCAAGGGATACAAGCTTGGAAAAAGCTCTGAGCAAGTCAGCATAGCCGTGACGTGCTTTGCTGCCCCTCATCTTGCATGCACATAAGCAACTGAAGTCTAGCTCTTAACTTTTAAAATTTCAGAAGAATGTAATTCACAACACAAAAAAGTAACATAGAATCCAGTATCTTAATGTGTGTAAGACACATATAGGGTTTATGGCTTTTCTATACCAATGCTGCATGTTGAATTTTGCATCTGATTCAGCTAGAGCTTCATGTAAGAAGGGTTTTACTTAATTTATTGATGAAAAGGATCTGTCAAGGAGTTAATAGTTATATGTTAGAGATACAGATGGATAATAATACGTATGATATTGTTTAACATCCAGATTAAAAATCTAAATCAAGTAACTTCTTTGAGCGTTGAAAAGAAGATTCAAACGTTACACTGTTGTTGTAATCTGCTGCTAAATACTTTAATGTGTTGGTGAAATCAAACTTAATTATCCGCTACATTACTTTTATAAACACATACTGATTTAATTTGTTTTTAAGGTTTAATGAAGAAACTAGAAGAGGAGATAAACTTCAATTCATACCTGGTTACTGAAAAAATACCTAGAGAGCTTGAAAGTAAGAAGAATTCAGCGTATTTCTTACAAAAGGTGGCTGCAGAGCCAGCTATGAGTCAATCTGATCTCAATGTACTTGAAATCAAGGTAAGCTGACCAAGGTCATACTTAATTTGTGTTCTGTAGCATAGTCTAAGGTTCTTGTACACTGTAGTTTTCTTATCCCTACTTCATATCCTTGAGAACATGTTTCACTCCCAAAGGAACATCCCTTCAGTTGTAAAAGAAAAGAAGATGTGTTAATCACTAAATGCAAACTCTCAGATTTAAAAAAAAAAAAAAAAAAAAAAAACCACCACAAAACAAACACAACCGAACAAAAAAACCCCAAACCAAACCTCAAACCCAGCCCTATCCTTAAATGCTATTTGGAAAATTGTGTTAGCAGCTTGCAATGGTATGAGCAGAGATGTTAGTTTAGCACTAAAGGTTTGATTTTTCTTCTTTTCAGTTTTTACTTGTTTTAAACTCTCACTGACGTCAAGGGAGTTTATACCAATGTATAGAGAGTGTTTATGGAGTGTTGAACAACGTTCTCTGAGTGATTCTTAGCAATAGTATGTCGTAATCAATGTGCAATGGCTGAGAAGTCCTTAATGTTTGGAATAGGTCTGTATAGTTTGTTTTAGTCGGTAAGACCAACAAAGACTTGATTTACCTTTCCAGATTTTTTCAGAAGTTAAAAGCAAATAGTGTTAGAATGAGCAAAACCCTTATTTGTAGCATATATCCAAATGTGCAGAGGGATTTGTTGCCACGGAAGTAGTACCTTTCTATATTTCGCTCAAGGAAGTTTTCATATTTGCATAATCCTACATGAAAGATTAAATATGTAATATTATGCTCTAGAAGAATTTAGAGGAATGCTAATTATTAGTATTTCTATTGATGATGATGAAAATTTACAACAATGTTATCAAAGGTAGGCAGACTAGTCCTGTATACTACTAGGTACACTCTTTGGTCTAAATGTCTTCTCCTTCTCCTATCAGTTGTTTTTTAATATTCCCAGGATCTCCAACTCAGGCTTTGCTGTGAAATACAGATAATGAGGAAACAAAGGATTTGTAATAGATCAGAGACTGATTTACCCATGGGTGTGAGGCTTGCCATCCACCATTCTTCTCGTGTCTTGAAGCAGAGAGAGGTTCAGCAACTACATCAGCATCACAGTAGCCTGTGCATTCACACACAGAACATGCCAAATTCATGTAATAAAGAAATGCCTCCAAGTTTTTTGGATCAGACGAGAATCATCAGTCAAACGTCGCCAAGAATATGTTCTATTTTAAGGTTAAGACTAGTTTTTATAAAAGTAAAATCAGTGACAGCCCAATGCTGTTTTGGATCCCGATCGTTACACTTGTAAGGATGACACCGTTTTTAAACTGTAGATTAGGTTTGAAATACTAAACTAGCTCTGTGATTCAGCCTCTGCTTCCTAGTTTATTTCTTCTAATCAAAACAATATTTGTGGCTGCAGTTATTTCTTTTAGGCATAGTTGAAGCCCTGTTTTGCACCTTTCTTTTCCAAGAGTATTGTTGGGGTTTTGGCAATATTTTAAAAAGCTTCAAGTTTGGTGTGGGCTTTTTTTTTTTTCCCCTCTCCATGAGGTAACCTTTTAATTTGTTATATTTTGGAAGCATGTTCTTCTTAATAGATAATAAAAACATGTCATATACTTGGCTGTTATCACAGCATGGCCTTAGACAGCATTTTTTTTTTAAGTCAGCCTTCTATTATCTTAAAAAGGAGATGAGTAAGCATGCTACTATCATGCATTTTATAATATATAAAACAGGAATTTATTCACAGAAAGGAATTCTTATGCTGTCTTCAAACTCAGGCCTGTTCTAGCTTTTGTAAAGGAATAGAATTTACAGGAGATTTTTTTTCAGATGTTGGAGTATTTTTAGTCCTATTGAGCACTTTATTTTAAATATTTAGCTTTCAAAGTACACAAAGTACTCAGAAATGTTAGAGTAATGCCCAGCACTGTACCTGCGTTACGTTTTGACTTCATTACATTTCAGCACATATTTACACTGCTTGCTTATCAGCACTCATCTAGTTAGCAGAGAATTAAAGGAAGGTTGCTAGGGCTGTGGTTTCCATGGCTGATGAGAGTCCCAGTGTAGCATTAAGTCAGGACTGGAAAAGCTGCAGTCAGTACATTGATGTAGCTGTTTATGAGTTTCCAGGTGCAGTAGGCTCCAAAGCTTCAGCTAGAATGAAGATCAACAATTTGAGACTATGGACAAACAAGTGCACTTTGTGGCAGTAGAAAGAAGGTACCATAGAGCTGGAATATGATGGTCTGTGACTCTTCAAAGTATTGATGAAATTTGGTATCATTTAGTCTTTATTTGCTCCCCTTTAAACTTCTGATAAATGGTTGAGTGAAAAGGGCATTTTAGTTAATATTCATAAAATTACATTTTTCACATAGTATGTGACAACATCAGTCTTTTTTCTGTCTGTACCAATTCATTGTAATTTTCTCTCCACGTACACCAGTTTACTTCATTTTCAGGGCCAACGTCATGCTTCTGCCTTATCATAAAGGCACAGAACTGGAAATCCAAAAACATAGCCTCTTCCTGGCCAGTACTTAATGACTCATTGAGTTTTTTGGGTTTGTTTCTCTGTTTTAAAAATGGAACTAACTGGATTGTAAATCTGGTTTGCAAAGCATTTAATTCTCAGAGAAGACAAAGAAATAAAGCTCCAATTCCTTAGTTTTCTACTCTGTCTTGCAGATAAATGAAGTAAACGCACAAATTAATCAGCTTATTGAGAAAAGAATGATGAAGTATGAGCCCATTGATAGTAAATTTTCCATGTATCGCCAACAGGTAAGAAGGAACAAAACATTTTTTAAGCAGAAGCAGTAGAGCAATTTCAGTCACTGATTATTTTACATACTGCTTTTTTTCTTTAACTTATTTAGCATAAATCAGTAGAAATACATAATAATGGAGGACAAAAAGAAAATAAATAGCTGTTGAACATATGTATGTTTAGGGCTGAGTCAAACAATTGCTTTCAGTCATGTTAGTGAGTTTGTATTGACTGCTGTCCTTAAGCTGTTAGGTGCTGCTCTTCAGCTGCATCACAGTAATTCTGGAAGGATCATTTTGGAGGAGCTATTTTGGTAAAGCTCCAGCTGTGGACAGATTCTTACAAGGCAGCATGTGGGCTGACTGCTGCAGTCAGACCTGGATGCAAGGCTTGCTTTCAGTTATATCCCTTGCTTGTGTTTGACCACGTGCTGTTTTTCCCGTTACATCTATTAAGAAGGTGTTCTTTGATTTTTCATCCTGAGGCTATAAAACAGTTCTTCTATAAAATAGGCTGTCTGGTCTAGTCTTAGTAAATTCACAAGTTATAAAAGGATTTATGAACTCTGAGTTTTTCAGAGCTTACGCAGAAACGTAAGTGATTTCTTTTCCAGGCAACCTGTACCACTGCTAATTTTATTGAAGATTTTCATGATGATCCTTATGGTGACGGTTTAAAAAAATAAAAAGGCTTAAGTAAAATGTATCAGTGGGAGGAAAAAAATTCTGATAAAATGTATACTGCAGCTCAATCACATATGCAATATGAAATGCACCATTTTGTTTTGTAAGAGATGCTCCTCTTCTCCAAAGAAAAGCCTGCTACGTAATGTGCTGGTACCAAAGACCAACTGGCTTGCGATATAATTATGTTCAATGGAGGAACCATTCCAGGAGTTCAGGTTGCTGCTGTGAGTTGAAAGCATGTGGTGATCTTTGCTTTGTTCTGCTAGGGACTGGCTTCTGTTTCACAAAATAATCATATATTCTACCACAATTTGTCACTGCCAATATCTGATGGAGCAAAGAGCTGAGATACTACCCCAGCAGAATTCTGTTAGATATATTTTTAGAAATAAAGCTGGTCCTTTTCACCTAGTCAGTGTGTATTTGGCTTCATTTTTCCTTAAGTTTTCCCTTTCATATGAAGAAACCATGCCTCCAAATTCACGTGCATGCATCTAAATTAATGTGTTGTGTTATTGTAAAATATTTTTAAATAGTATGCTTTGGCAAGATAAAAATACTCCCCCCCCCCCAACACCCCCACCCC